GATTTCTCTTCTCTTGTCCCTTCGTTCCCCTTCCTGATCCATCACGCCGGAACTTGTCTGTCCCTTCTCCTCTCTCTTCCCATGTCCTTTATCTCCTACTTCCCACCTCTCTGATTCGCTGTTTCCCCTTCACGGTGCCTGTCTCTCCCCCATTACGGCTCCTGCCTTCCCAGGCTGCGGAGTTTCTGGAGCCAGGCCCTGCGGCCACTGCTGCAGAAGCCGGCAGGCTACCATCCACCCAGGGAAGGTCCAGAAGCCGGGGCCTGCTGCTTCCTTCCCTCCTTGTATTTCCGAGTCCTGGCCTCCTGACTCCTAAACAGGCCAGACCTGCCTGAGCAGCTCCTTCTGTCGGCAGTGCAGCGCCAGGTCAGACCTGCAGGGGGCGTGCTGCCCTCTGCCTTTGGCCCTCATGCTGTGCCCAGGTAGGGCCTGACCTTGCCACCCCCCACTTACACTTCCCTGAGCTTGGCCTTCAAAGCCCCAGGGGACTTCCTGTTGTCCCCACAACAAGCCTTGCTCCTTCACACCCCTGGGCCTTGGCTCCTGCTCTTGCCCCTCCTGGGATGACTGTCTGTCAGTGGTCTCTTCAGAGAGCTGTCACAGGCCCACACTGTTCCAAGCCTTCACTCCGTCACTCTGTACGTGAAAGCTTCCTTGTCTGTCCCCTGGAAGAAGTGACAGTTTCCTCCTGGGGCCCCCACTTCCCTTTTATAGTGCTTAACCTGGCTTGTCTGGACACAGCTGCGTCTCTGTGTGCCCAACACCTGGCACATAATCTATGTGTGTCACTGAGTGACCACCTAGGGTGACTGTGGGCATGTCTTGTCACCTCCTGTGACCTCAATTTTCTTATCAATACAGTGGACCTGGAAATGACTGGTTGGAGCCCTGACATTCATGAAATGCACTCAGCAAATATTAAGCGCCTGCTGTATGCCAGGTTGTGCACGCTGTACATCCTGAGGCACAAAGGAGAGGGCGTGCAGCTGTCCAGTGCCGGCTGGAAGTGAGGGAGGCTTCCGGGGTTCCTGTCTGGGTGGGCGCCTGGGTAGCCCCGGCCGGTCTTTCTGGCATCTGCACTGGCATGAACCCGCTTCAGCTCCCTGCCCCCTGGCTGCTTGCAGACTGCTGGCCATCCAGCAGCCTTTTCCAAATGCACCCAGACTGGATTGTTCAAGCCCCATCCAAGGCAGCTTCTACGGCATCAACTGCCTCTTTTGGTGGAGAGTCAGGGGCTTCCTACTTGGCAGGAAACTGGGGGTCCTGAGATCTGTCTCTTCCTCTCTGCCCATCTCCAGCCTCCTTTTCTGGGCAGATGGGAGAAGAGGGGGAAGAATCTCTCTCTCTCTCTCTAACACACACTCACACACATGTGCACTCTGACATAGATTCCTGGGGCTCATCAGCAGTGTGGCCCCGGGCAATTTACTCAGTTTCTCTGGTTTCTGGCTCTTCCATCTGTGAAATGAGCTACCCGATGCCTCTCACCTAGCACTGTGCCAGGGTTACGAGGAGTAAAAGGGCCCCTGTTAGCAGGGAGCAATGCTCTCTGCCCCTTAGTTAGGTAAGACACTGCACCCCTGCCCTTCCTGCCAGGGCAAGATTTCTGTCACCTTCCTCTATGTAGTCAGTGGGGCCACTCTGTCAGTTTGGAATCCTGAAAATCTTGACTCTTAAGAGTTTTAAATCCTAGAACTCAGAACCCTAGTTAAGAGCACAGACTCTGAAGCTAGGCATTCTGAATTCGAATCCCAGCCCTGCCATTGTTCAGCTGTGTGACTTCCAGCAAGTTACTTAACTTCTCTGTGCCAATGACTCCTCATCTGGAAAACAGATTTACAAGATTGAAGAAAGGATTAAATGTGTTACTACTTGTTAAGGGCTTAGACCAGTGCCTGATGCAGATGAGCACTTTGTAAGTATTTGAGGAAGAAATCGGTGTGGATTCTGAGGATACTAGAATCTTTGTCTCCGTGATCTCAGGGTCTTGAGGCCTGAAAGGGACCTCATCTCATGCCCTGGTGCAGGAATCCTGCCCCAGCTCCCTTCAGCCCCAGCTTGGTTATCTCTACAATACTACAATTGCTAGAAAGTTCTCCTGGGGGATTGAGGTGAGCCGGGGCTGCTCTGCCCGGCAGCTGCTGAAGTAGTGAGTGAGGGCCTGCCTGGTTGGGCCTTGTCCCAGGGGGAGGGGATCAGGAACCTGGCCCAGTGGCCAGGTGGGTGCACTAGGGGATTCCAGGATGGGCCGTCTTGCGCACCTCTGGGCAGGCCCCTGCTCCCAGGGCATGGCGGGGCCTAATGAGTGTGTGTGGCTGCTGCAGCCTTCTGCAAATACCAGGCACAATATAAATAGCAATAATGAATAAATGAAGCTCCTGCAGCCAGCGAGGGCCTCCGGGAGGGACTGCCGCAGCCTTGCTTCTTGCTGAGACCTGGAGTTGCAATCCCATCCCCCTGCAGGTTTGAGGGTCACTCCTCACCCCATTTCCACCATGACCTTCAGTCTGTGTGCACCCTGCATGTCCACAGAGCCCACTCCTCTCTGAGGGGTGGGGTGTGGTGGGCAGAAGGGTGAAGTAGTAGACAATGAAGGCTTTAATCGAAGCATGAAGCGTTTAGGTTGGACATTAAGCAGGACTTCCCGGCAGTGTGGGTGCTTGAAGAAGGGTGGGGAGGGTATGTTAGTTCTGCTGGAACAGGAAAGGGTCTAGGATCATGGAGGGGGGAAAATTTCTCCTTAAGTATAAAAAGAGAACTTTGGCCCTGGCTGGTGTGGCTCAGTGGATTGAGTGCCAGCCTGCAGACCAAAAGGTTGCCGGTTCGATTCCCAGTTAGGGCACATGCTTGGGTTGCAGGCCAGGTCCCCCAGTGGAGATGTGTGAGAGGCAACCAATTGATGTTTCTCTCCCTTTCTTTCTCCCTCCCTTCCTGTCTCTCAAAAATAAGTAAATAAAATCTTTAAGCAAATAAAAAAAGAACTTTGAATGATCAGAGATGCCCAGAGAACAAAGGAGCTGCCCCCAAGAAGTGGTGAGATCTTCGTCACTGCAGGTATGCAAGCTGGCGCCTGGTGGCCACTCGGGGAGGCTGTAGCGGAAAGGATCCAGTCCCGAGGATTCGCCATCTGCTGGCTTCTGGAAGTCCTGTCCAGCCTTTTGAACTTGACGAAAATGTTGCCAGAGGAGAACAGGCGAGAAAGTGATGGTTGTTATCTTCTCTCTGCCTGGCTGCCAGACTGATCTCATCTGCCCAGGCCTGGGTGCTCCACCCAGCAGGGCACTCAGCGGTCAGGGCACCGAGTGCCTGCTGAGCCACTTTATTCCTCCTTCCACGCCTTTGTCTAAGTCCTTTCTCCCTCCTAGTGGATGCAGTTTCTCCCCCTACCTCCTCCCTTCTTATCTCAATCCCACACAAGCCTTCGGCTGGTGTCAGCCTCTGGCCTTTGACCAGGTCCTCCCTGAAGACTCGCAATCTGACGCCCACTCCGACCTGAAACAAATCCACCCCACCTGTGGACACCTTCTGGTCTGCTCCGTCCTTACCTAGGGGACACCTCCGAGCCTCCAGGGTGCTTGCATGACCTTGCACTGTGGTCTGGTGACAAAGGTGCTTTGACTTGTCTCCCTGGATAGATTAAAAGGTAGGACAAGATAAATATTGGTGGAGCACCTACTATGTGCCAGGCGGGGTGCTAAGCATTTTTTAGACTGGGTTCCTTCTGCAAAATGTGAAATTTTCATTTCACTGATGAGAAACTGGAGGCTCAGAGGCTTTAAGGGGCTTGTCCAAAGCACTCAGTCAGGCAGCAGCAGAGCTGGAATGAAACTCTGCACTTGACCTTGGCCAAAAGGATGAGAAGTGACTGGGGCGGAACTCTGAATGCAGCTTCCTCCAAAGCTCTACCCATCCGCCAGACCAAGTTGCCCCCAGGGCAGGCCTCAGCATCCTCCACCCCGGCCCCAGGCCCAGCCCAGTTCCTGCCTGCTACTCACTCTACATTCCCCAGGGAGATGAGAAGAGGTGGGGGTGGGTGAGGGGTGGGGTTGGCTGAGCTGAGGTCCCTGATCTCTCAGGCTCTGGTGGCCCAGACTGTTCAGGGGAAGTGGTGAAGCTGGGGCCCTTGCACTTGGAGAAAGACGTATCTGTTCCACTTGGGAGCCCTCTTGGAAACCTTCCTGGAGGAGGTGGTCTTTCAGCCAAGCCTTGAGGTTGCGAAGAAACATTAGCGTGAAGTGAGAAGTGAGGAGGGACCTTTGGAGTAGTGGAGTTCTAGCTTGGCCCCACCGTTCGAGGGCTGGTGGTCTGAGATGGGCAGCCCCTCGCCGGAGCAGCGGCAGACAACACCCCTCGCATTTCACAGCATTGGGGGATCCAGAGTGTAATCCAAGGTGGCCAACCAGGCACCTTGGACATGGGGCGGTCAGCAGTGGGGTCCCTCCCTTTTTACACATGACGCAGCCCCCTTGCTGAGGGGGTAGGACACTCCCCCGGGCACGACTCTGAATTTTAAGGAGGTAGCCACAAGGCTGGGGGCTTGTGGCCTTCCAGAGAGGGGTAGGGGCTCGCCAGTCGCGTCAGTCTGTCTGTCGCCTCCGCGCCTCCCCGCCTCCAGCGTCCCGCGCCTGCAGCTTTCCCCGAAGACATTTGGTGTCAGTATAAGGACGGCTTTGCCTCGCACGCGGCGCGGCTGGGTCTCGCCGCCGCCGCACGTCCCCGCAACGCCAGGCGCTCGGTCTCCTCCGCAGCCCCCGCCGCGCAGACCCCGCGCCTCAAGCCCGGGGCCAGAGGAGCGAGCCGATCCGGGCTAGGGACGCGGCCAGACCCCACACCGCCGGCCCGGGCCGCCGCCCGCGCCCGCGCCCGCCGCCGCGGGTCTTCTCCGGGCACTTGCCGCCCTCAGTCCCCGCAGCGCCCCCGTCCCCGGCTCCGATCCCGGAGTGCCGCGCGCCCGCCTGCCGCGCACTCCAACTCCGGCTCCGTCCGCGGCTCGCCCGCGTTGCCGGCTTCCAGGCGCCCGCCCGAGCCTCGCTGACCCCCCCGCCAGCCCGCCGCCTCCCCGCGCCATGGCTGGGGCCCCGGGCCCGGCCGCCCACCGCCCGCCGCCCCTGGCGCCCCACGGGCTCAGCTGATCCTGAATTGACCGGGGGCGAGCGGCGGGGCTGGAGGTCCCCCTCGATTTCTGGCTTCGGGGGACGCGTGGCCCCCGCGTCTCTAACCTGGACGACCCCCCGCTGCCCCAAGTCCATGCCCAGGTAGGTGGGGGTCGGGGGAGGAAGGGAAGGGGAGGGCTCAGCGCCTATGCCAGTTTCTTGGCGCGTCGGTTCTTTCTTTAGTGAGGCGTTTATTTATTTCTGGGACTGGCCCCTCCACCCGCACGTGCCCGTCAGGTCAGCCCCCCCCAGCCCCTGCCTTCAGGGCAGGTGCCTTGGGAGGGAGGACGGGAAACTTTGACCGGTCTCTTCTCCAAGGCCACGAAAGTTCTCTCCATGCCAATGCTGAAGCCAGCCGAGCCAGCTCTGCAGAAATTTATTCAACAAGTCAGGATGCCGGCGGGGCCCAGGCTGGCCGTTTGTCCCGCTGCCCTGGCTGCTGCGGCTCTGCGGCCGGCAGACCACGGAGTGCCGCCAGTGACCAGGGGGCTGAGCTGGAACGTTGGCGAAGGGAGAGTGGCGGCCGGGGATCGAACGGGGGAATCTCAGGCAACGTTTAACTTTCCTGGAGGCCCAGGTGGCCCTGGACCCTTCCCTGGCCGGAACCCCAGGGGGTATCCAAGGTCTCCCTGCGTGAGGCCAGGCCGGGGTCAAAGCTGGGACTCCAGGGGGTGAAAGACTCCTCAGCAGGTTGGGACTGGTTATGTAATGAGTGTTTATGCTGCTTGGGTTTCATTTGTTTACTGGGTGGAGTGTGGGAGGGGACATGGGGGGCAAGAGGCCTTGGCAGGGGGAGGGAAGGCCTTGGGGTGGGGGGAGGTGGTCCTGACACCTGGAGGGGGGGGCTCCGGGAGGAGCCTATGAGAAGGCATCAGTCAGCTGCTCTGCTGTGTCTTTCTCCCCTTCAGGGTCCTGGGGCCTCCTGAACCGGGGAGGAGAGGAGAGTGGCTATGCAGAGACCCCGAGCTGTGTTCTGGCTCTGGGTGTGTGTGTGTGTGTGTGTGTGTGTGTGTGTGTGAGAGAGAGAGAGAGAGAGAGAGAGAGAGAGACAGAGGACGCCTGCTTGCGTCTGTGCCTGTGTGGGGTGATGGGGTCTGACACCCCATCCTGGGGGGGGGAGGAGCGTCCCGGGGCCGCGAGTGCTCAGGTGGCTGGATGGGGAGCCCGTCTGTCCTTCTGTCTCCAAGCGCCTGGGAGAGGCACACCGAGGACGCTGGCAAACTAGGGTGGGAGGCTGTGAAGATGGGGGTGTGGGGCCATGGGCTTTGCCCCTGGAAAAGGGTCTGGCTGAGGACTTCGGGCTTTGGTCCTCAGGCCCTGCCCGCACTGTGGGGTCACCTCTCGGATCAATGTCTTCCTTTAGCCCCAAGGACCGGCCTCGAGCGGTCTTGTCCACCCTTCCGGACAAACTTTCTGTTTAGGCTCCAGGACAAGGCTGGGATGGGGCCTGGGTGCAAAGTGTAGAGCCCTCTCTGTCCCCTTCCCACCTCCGCCATCCACACAGAGCCAGAGGGAAGGGGTGCCAGTGGGCGGCAGGGCAGGGTGACACCGAGTGGGGACCAGTTCTGGGCTGCAGTGGGGGGAGGGAGGGAAAAGGGAACAGCACATTGGGGTGTGGGGACGGGCTCCCTTCCTGGCTGCTCAGAGCTGCCCAGACCCACCCCTGGGGGCCATGATGGCCAGCTTGGGGGCGGTCCTTTGTCCCTTTTCCCATCTTCCTATTCCATGTGCCTGTGAGAGCACATCTTCCAGGCCCACCAGGAGGCACCAAGCATCCGTTCCCCTGTCCCTGTTCCTGACTCCCTTTGACCTTGGCTGGGGAGGTGGGGGCTGATGTTGCTGGGAGAACCCGTCCTCTCCTACCTTCTGTCACTGGCTCCAGACAGCCCGGCCCTCCCGAGCTCACAGCCAAGCTGGAAGCAGTTTCCGGGACCGGTGCTGCCGTAGCCTCTGTGGTCCTGGACCCAGATCCACACCCCGAACCCATGGGGCCGCCTCGCACTCCCCTTCTCAGTCTCCACCACTGCCATCTCTTCCACCCTCACCCCGCACCCCCAGTGGGGCTCCCCTGGGCCTCAGCCCTCTCAGGAGAGTCTGTTTCTGATCACCACTCAGTCCCTCCCCCACCCGCGAGGGACTCCACCCCCAGCAGCTTCTGAGCCCTGTCCAGGGAAAGAAACAGGTCCTGGGGCTCTTTGAGCCCCTCCCTCTCTCCTTCAGCTGCTTTGTTCTCCGAGTGCCCCCGCCCCACCCACCAGGGGATTTGGAAAGGGAATAATGGGCCCGGTACTGTGTAGGGAATGCAGGGGTCCAGGGAGACCCCCAAGGGCTGCAGGGCCCTCTTCTCCACTCCTTCCTCTCCCCTCCTCTTCCTTACTTGTCCTCCCTCCTGCCTCTGCTCCCTTCCGACCCCTTCCCTCCCTCCTGTTCTTTTCCGTAGAAGGTTTCCTTCCCACACATTCCCAGGATGTGCCCTCAGCCCTCGTGGCCCCAGGAGTCCAGGCCTGGGTTGGGGACGCAGAGATGGCCTGGGGAGCTGTGGGTGTGTGGGCTGTGGGCTTGTGCTCTGGGATCTGTGGTCTCTGGGTCTCTGTGAACGTGTGGGGTCTGTCGGCCTGAAGGCCCACGGGGCCGCAGATCTGCAGGTCTGTGGGTGTATGCACCTGCGAACCTGTGGAAGTGCGGTTTTGTGGGTCTGTGGGCCTGTGGATCCAGATACTGGGGAAGATGTGGGCTGAGCCTCTCCCACTCACGGCTGCCGGTATAAGAAAGGAAGAAAATAAATCTGATTTCCTGATTTCCATTTCTCTTTCTCTCTTATATTTATTAAGCACCTACTATGTGCCAAGCCCCGTTATGGTCACTGAGGGACAGAGCAGTGAGTAGAAAGGAATAGACAACATCAGCCTGGAGTTTCTGTGCCCCTCGGAGGGGCCTGTGGCCTCCCAGTGCCAGGTACCATGTAGGCGCGTGGCCACAGGGCCTGGTGTCTTCTCGTGCTCTCGAAGGGGAGACCTGGGCCGTGTTTGATACATGGTGGTGCAGGTCACGGAAGGCGGTGAAAGCACAAGGTGTTTGAATACTGTGAGCAAGTGCTGGGAGCTTCCGGGACGCCCTGGGGGGGAGGGGCGATGAACAGGAAGTGGCTTCTCCAGGGCGGAGGCCACGGTCTTTGGGCTGCAGGTTGGCAAGGACCTGGCCCTGCCTCTCAAGCCGCTCTCTTTACCTCGAGGCCCTACCTCTGCCAGCTCTAGCCCTCCCCACACCCCGGCCAGGGCTTTCTCATTGATGATGCCTTTCGAGAAGGGCATCAGCGTTTTCCCTCTCCTCACCGCTGACCACTGGCCTCGATGGGCAGCGGGGGCCACATTCCACTCTCGATCGGTCCCAACACTTAGGCTTCCTCCTCAATCACTCAGCTCTTGCCCTGGCTGGAGAGGGGTGAGTAAGCCCATGACCGTGAGCGCAGCCCGCGGGAGCATCAGCCTTGTATAAATTGGGAGAATACCTTCTACCGCACAGTCTCCTTTGTGAGACTTAGATGTGACTCTACAGGACCCAGCACAGGGCCTGGCACAGTGACGCTGCTTTCCTTTCCGTTAGGTACTTTCTGGATCTTTTCCAGTTCGCTCCCCCTTTCCGTCAGATAGAGAGAGGGTCATGTCTGCACTTTGTACAAGAGGGAATGCAGTTTGGTGAGACCGGGACGCAGTGAGGGTGGAGCCGGGACTCGACCTGGGCCCTGGGACTCCCCGTCCAGTGTTCTTTCTTCTAGAACACCCTGCCCTGCAATTGGAGGCTACATTTTCCCCGATTTGTTCGCTGAAGGAGGACCCAAGGCTGTAATTGCTGTGGAGGCAGTAAAACTGACCAGCAGAGCCACCTGCCGGGACATGTTCAGACGCACTGATAGGGGCTCAGACACAGTCTCGCTGGCTGGCACTTGTCGTAAGGCTGAGAGATGACAGATGATGGCGGCTGGTGACAGACATGGGGACAGGCACCCGTGAGTTCTGGAGCCTCACAAGCACCCAGCACTTCCTCAAGGGCGTCCGAACCCCTGCTGCTTTCCTGTCCCTCCGTGACCTGCACCCCCAGGCGGCAAACACAGCTCGGCGCTCCTGTCGGAGTGGTGGGTGGGCGGGTGGGCCGTGACCTCCAGCCCACAGCCTGCCCTCTCACCGGCAACCTGGACCTGGGCCTCCCGCATCCAAACCCCGGTTCTTTCACCAAGTGCTTCTTGACCTTGGGAAAATTCCTTAACTTCTCTGTGCCTTAGTTTCCTCACCTCTAACATGGAGAGAGTGGAAGTCTTGCTTCCCTGGGTGGTAGTGACGTGCCTGGCACATGGGAAGGGCTCCGCAGAGGAGGTCTGTGACTCCCGTTGGTTGTCTCGGGAGGGGCTGCCAATCCAATTTGTTGACCACTGCAGAGCTGGGAGGGCTGGCTGTGGATTTTGGTGACAGACCAGGTTAATGGCAAGCTGGGGGCAGGCTAGGCTGGCCAGACCAGAGCAAGTTTTCCGTCCGGTAGTGCGTGTCAGGGCCAAACTGCAGCCATTCATCTGTAGGCTAGTGGAGCCTTGTCTTTGCTGCAGCCGCTCTGAGGAAGATGAGAGGCCAGTGGACCACACGCCCCACGGGGCTGCAGTCCGACTGGGTCGCCAGCCAGGCTGTGCGGCTCCCAGGCTGCACCAAGAGAGGCCCCCCTGCAGGACCAGGCGGGTGACCTGTGGGCTCCACTCTGGGTGACTTGGTGCAAACCTGGTCCAGCCCTTGTGGAGGAAAAGAGGCAAACTTGGATGTGACTGGGGATGGGGTCCCAAAGAGCCGATGACCTGGGAATTGTCACCCAAGGATGGATGAGGAAGCTGGTGACAAGAGGCCTGGAGCCGGTGTGGCTCGGGGGTGGGCGGGCTGTCGGCAGGCGTCTGCAGGGCTGTCTCGTGGGAGAGGGAGCAGACGGAGGGTGCCGGGGGCTCTGGGGCGCCGGCTGGAGGATTCTGGGAGGCAGGTTTCCTGCAGCCTTGCGAGACCTCTCCGCAGGCCAGCGGGTCAGCCCCTGCATTGGAGTGTGTGAGTGGGCGATGAGTGTGTGAGTCT